GAGGGCGAGCTGGAACGACAGTGAACGAAGGATAGACCCAGACAACGATTATACAATGCTACGGAAACATCGAGGATACCGAGGTTCGCCGAGTCCTTCTCTTTCTCTGTAGTTTGGGAGTGCCGACAGATGTGCGCGGCATCACGGACCGAACGTACACCTTACAGACGTGTACATACAGGCAATGCTCGAACACACGCGTATCTTTCACTGCGTTGCATCTCATCCCCATGGGTGTCTCGCGCCTCAATGTCTCTGATCTTGTTAAGGACGCACTGAACCACAAATAGCCGGCATCCATTCAAATATTAGCGAGAAATCTAGCTACTTAAGCTAACTAGCAGCATATTAGTGACACCTTAGTGGTGGACGACAGAAAATAATGAATAATGCATTAAACACTGGTTGACAGTCTGATAAAATTATGAATTACGGTAAAAGAAATTTATACTTCACGCGTATTTTTTTAATAATTACGTCGGGTATGGTCATTATTAAAACAAGGGATACAGTTAAATATTTGCCCGAGTCTCACGCGGAATAAACTGTCGAAGGGTGAGCTACGTTTTCAAATAAAAATTTTCAACGCAAATTTTAGGGTCACCGCTGACCCGGTTTTTAAATGTCTTTTTGTTTCAGAGTCATAACTCTTCTCTCCTTATATGTATTATCTCACCTTATATGTATAATCTTCAACAATATAATGCTTAGTAAGATAAAAAATGTGGTTTCTCTTGCGTACGGAAACGATTTTAGTATCGGGTCATTTCTGACCCGGCCTCCTCCGTGCGTGCGAATATCGCGCTATCCGCTGTCCCAGGGGTAATTCGTGAATCCTTATATTTGGATTATTACAGCGGTGTAAAGAATTTAGCTACCCACAGGGGTTGCGTCTGGAAATAACCGTCACATTATACTTACGTACTCAACTATATCGCGATTGAAAATACCTATTCATTGTCTAGATAGCTTGCTCCCTACTTACTGCTAATCTATAGAGGGCCAAAATTGTAACGAATATTTAAATGTTTAGATACGAGCAATATGTAATCGCATATAAAGTGAAAATTGTAATGTAATATCCAGAACATCAGCGTTAAAAGAACTACTAAAGGCTGCAACACTGAAACAACTATTAAAGAAGTGATGAAAAATTTAGTAGATCCTGAAATATCCATTGTAGAAAGTGAAGGAAATATTTCTACGGCTAGCAATTGCAAATAAACTTTGTCATTCGACGAATTTCTTCGACGAAAAGGAGAATAAATGATTTTTAAGATAACCTAGTACTTGACTGATTACTATGAAAATGTCTTTTTTAAACAGTATAAACAACCGCATAATTCGATCAGCCTTTGTCACAATCACATAAAAACAACATCCGTTGCTAGTTACATCCGCGCGAAATTTCTAAGGAACGCAATTATTCTAAGCAAACACATAACAATGCACGCAGAAATCTGTAGAACAAAACCGCTTGTACAGGATGTCGTGTAAATCTGTACATGAATTCCGTGCACGCTCGTCGATACGGAAAGACCACGACAAACCGCTGGATTTATTTCAAATACATGCCACAGCAATTACGGGTGCACATTTCGAAAGACGTCTTCTTTCACGGCTGCGACCCCTTACGAGGCATAAAAGGTGGAGGGAAGGGTCGGCCGGAGGAGTGGTGTTTGGCTTTGTACAGACTCGCGGTGGCGTTGAAGCCGACAAAAGATAAGCTGTTATTTATAACCAAGCTTAAGGGACCACTGTGTGGTGGGGGAAGCTTTAGAGAAAATAAAATCACTTTGGAATCCCACGGCTCGCGTGTACGTATAACCCCCTCTGCAATCATCTCTTTCCATCTTCGACGTGGGAAGACGATGAAATCCGCCGCCGAATTATCACAATTACAACAACCGACAGTTTTCCGTACAACATTACCGCGACAAATATCCTCGAAGAGATACCACGTTGATACAGCAACAATAATAATATCTCGAAGAATTGCAGTTTAATCTTCAAACAAATTCTGCGGCGAAGCATTTCCAATTAAACGGTCCAGCCAAGTAACTGCGGCAAATCCTGAAACGTCTCCTCAGAAGACGAAAGAACCGTGCAAACGACACCAATGCAAACTCGTCCTCGTTTTATTTCCGAAGTGCCTACTGGAGCGTAACCCGAAGATCCGTGCGGAGACGACGGAGATATCTAAAGATACGTCTTCGATGGCTCGTAGCTGGGTGGCTGTGGGGTGGGGGAGCCGGTTGGATCCGGGGGTTGTCGGAGAAGGATGAGGTGGAGGAGGCGGAGGGTGGGGGGGGTCGGTGCAGGGGTCGAAGCTTCCAGTCTGCAGAGGGTGCACCCCCACCCGCTATAGGTAGGTGGTACCCAGTCCTCGAACTGATCAATACCTGAAACACCACAAGGTATCGTCCCGCTATTTCCGGTGTCTCAGCGTGGCCGGAAATGAAGGCGTTAAAAATATATAGAGAGACGTATATATGTATGTACGTAGAGGACAGAGTCTGCCGGGCCAGATAGTACTGGCATTATATCTTCTCCGGCGACTGTTCAGCGCAGCTGGCCTCAATACTGGGTTTCCAGGATAAATTTTTGTTCCCTGATTAGGCAATACCTTTGTGATAATGACGCCCGCGATTTTGTCACGGAAACGTGCGAGATGTATTACAGACTCGAAAGGTGCGAGATAACGTTCTTTAGGATAGAGAATGAATTTCCTTGTGACTTAGGCAAAATTGAAAGAGGCCTAGAACTACTCGTATCCTTTAGTTTTTGTATAGTTTCAGATTTTCTAGAATGTGACGCATTTTTGTTAGACACGTTGCGCTAGGTTAAGAATTTCCTAGAAATATTTGAACACCGAGAAGGGTTTAATTGGAGAACGTGAATTTCACTAATGTGCTTAAATAACTCAGTTAACAAAGTAGCAAACAAAGATTGCAAGGCGGTTTTAGAAAATTTCATGCACAGGGAGTTCACGGTAATAACGACAAATGAGATTTTTCGTTCAAAATTTGCTTTTCATTCTTCATCTTTTGTGCCTCAAATAAGTGTTTTAATTCAGAAACTTAAAAATTTTTAAACATTGATTCAACATGAAATAATACTTTTCAACAGCAGTTTCACGTAAATACCCTTTCACCTTCTTCCGTGTAGAATAACGTCTGCTATTTAATTATAACTATTCGCTACATTACCCATCGACTACGTCTTAAAATCAGCAATGGGAAATCAATACAGGCTTGATAATCAAACCCGCACAGAAACCTTTGAGTTACCAACATCGTGATGCAAAGTACTCTTCGCTCGAATAACCCGATATTTAACTTCTATTTCCCCACAAGTGCTTAGTATTGAAATTGCAACAGGTAATTAAAAAGACATTTGAAATTCGTATTATAGGAGTCTGACTTCGAAGCGAAATAAAGGGAGAGAGAAAAATTTGTGTAACCTCGAGCTCGGAGGGCGTGACCGTGCCTCTGACGTGGAACTCCGGATTTGCAAAATCTCGGCGAAGGGGTTGGTTTAATATCAACAGGTAGAAGTAGCGCGTCCTTGTCCCTACTGGATAAGCCGTCAGCTAAGCGCCGGCGCTAGCTAAACCGCTCGCACCCTCTCGAGGGTGTGACCTACCATCCCCATTGGACCAACCGGACGTGTGAAAAAGAGAGAGACAGTCCTGCGCGGATAAGACATTTTTTTCAAATCTACCGACACGAAGGGTGGAGCTTTTATCACTTCTATCATTGCATGCACCGATTCGCACGCGATACAGGTAACTCTCGTATAACGCGGACGTTAGGTCGCACAGAAATGCCGCGTTACACGAGTCTCGAAAAATACGTACACGCGTGCTAAACGGAACTTAAAACGATAGAAATAAATTTAACGAGGATAAAATTTGATTTTCACATCGCGCTCTGAAAAATATACGAGAAGGCAAAGGGTTGCTACGATTTGTAGACCGCGTTACACGAGGGCCACCTGTACGAGTTTTTGATATGTGCAAGTTCCTTTATGTCCACTGTTGCGTATCATTTAATCGAGAAGGTATATCCACGCAGCGGGTACGTAAGATATTTCGCAGTATCATTTTGTATAGAAGTAAAAGGTTTCAATTGAGTGACAACACCGAGATGAAGTTATTTGAGAGAAATTAGGAATAGAAACGAAAGCAGAAAAGGAATTACTTCGATGTGTCACACTATTATGTACAGTTCATCCGACACGGTTGTCATCGTTGTGTCAACATGGGTTATCGACATAATTCTGGTCTACGGTTGTTCCACCCTGGTGAAGACCTTAGACACCGCCCTGTCGGATTGAAGAAACGATAAAAAAGGCTGTAATACAGCGACAGTAGTTGGGGAAAGGGGAAAATATCCGCATGGGTCAGCCGAGAGAGACTTAGACCACGGAGATGGCCGCTTCAATATCGGCTTTTCAGAGCTTGAGATACTTATCTAATGTCTTATATTTTCCACTGGACTGCCCATTCAAATTTCAATTCGCGAACGATTTGCTAAGAAACTGTATTCTTCCTTCGTTACAAATATCAATACGAATGGATTTCACGAAACACACTTCTCTTTTAGCAATACTTTGTATATACTTTTGTATTAGAATCTCCAAAAGTCGGAAACATTCTCGTGCACAAAACTGTACAGATTTAATACATAATCTTGTATAAAGAAACGTTGCTTTTACACCACTCTTATAATATGTTCTCCACATTTCATACTTATCAATGTACAAACATCGAACATTTAATCAATTCGATGTACCGCGGATATATTAAAATGGAACGGTGCTC